TAGGCTAGTTTCAACCCCCTGCAATATATCTCTAAATCAGCAAATAAAGTGCTCTATAAAATGATATACATATTTCAAATTCGAATTGAAATTCAGATTAATATTAGATATGTGCACTTAACCTCACCACAACTGTGCAACATTGGGGTAGATGTAATCTGTGTGACTTTTATCTCGTATTCACTTTTTCTCGATGTATGTATCTCTATTTGCGATTCGATGTTGTGTTTTTTCATGTTTTATTCACAAACATGCCAACAAAAACGATGTCTGATTGTTCCAGTTTCCCTCAACCCATGAGACGTTTTTAGAAAAATCGTTTGCTGATGAAGGATAACAAACATTGAAATTGTGAATTGGGTTAGATATCATTCCGAGCAATTTTTTAAACATATGAAAATGAATAATTAATTGTTTGAAATCTATTAAAAGTACAAATTGAGTCTGTTTCATCTTGTTGATTCGCTTCAAATCGCTTTCATGTTTCTATTTCATGGATGCATGCATTGGCTTAAAGCAGATGCTTACCATTTCGCAAATTGAGTGTTTTCCATAGATTTTTTTACGAAATACGAATTCAATTGAATAGACAGCCATTTCCGACTGAAAAATTGTTACATCGTTTGATTTGCACTATGAAATTGTTACATTGATTGACCATATAGTTATTCAACGTTTGTGTACTGATGAGAGACCAGGAGAGAGAGAGTTGAAGAAAATGCAATTTTTGCGTTTATTGAATTGAGCTCACTGATCAAGATCTTGGATATGTGCGTGTGTGACAACATGCATTTCAGTTGTGAAATAAGTATTTCCGTTGGAAATGTAACCCCTTGCTCAATGGCAAAGGCGTTTACAGTGTGATTTGCTGACTTTATAGCATAATATTAATTGAAGAAGGTCGTCGGACACGTGCTCTCAATTTGAGACCTTGATACACAATAAAGCGAACCAACACCGGAATCACGACCGCTCGCACTTTTGGTTGTATTTACACTTGAATCAAATGAATGAATTCGAATGTGAACAACAAGCCATCTAATTTCAATTGTCAAAATATTGAGTCATGCGGTGCCATTGTTTGCGATACAAACACTTTATTATTATTTTGCATTTTGGGTGGTCGACCCAAAACGGCTGAGAAAAAGTGGGCGTTCTGAACAAATGAGACACTTATATCTTGTTCGATTAATAAAAGGTAAGTGCTGACTTTAAAAGGACAGATAATTATACCCTTTCTAATTTATTTGATTCAGGCACCACGTGTCCATGCTTGTTTGGCATCCACATACTTTTTTCTCGATTATAAATCCCGAATATTTAATAAAATGAAAAACTTGACAATTGAACTGTAATAACAGTCATTGAAATTAACCAGTTTGAAATGCATAATGGGTGTGATGCATTTCGATTGGTATTTTGACATATTTATTATTTGGTAGAACACTAGACAACCACAATTAGCGCGATAGACGCATTGACGCCATGACAAAAAAAAATTATGTAATTGAAAAAAACGGAACAATAACGTCAACTTGTGAACGTTTTCGAGCATGTTCGAGAGACTCTTTGTACCACAAATATAATAATAATAATTCAGGATGTAACTAATTGTAAGCGGAAAAATGGAATAATGAAGGAAATAATGTGAGAATGAAACTGCAATTTTTCACAGCATTTTTTTTCGCTGCCACTGTTGTCACAACAGAAAATAAGCGCCGGAAATCACAATTTTTCATCAAAGTAAGTTTTAATATAAAAATGTGCATTTGTAACAACATTACACTTCTATGAACTAAATGCTGGAAATTACATTCGTTACAATGCAAAAAAGCGGTGGAAAATGTGACGTATTTATACAATGGTGTGCCACACATGTGTAATTAGGAAATTTCAATTGGGTGCACTTTTATTGTGTGATTTAATCACAACCTAAATAGTTTGACCGAACAAAATAATGCCCATATCATTTGTATTTTTGTGCCGGACGTATAAGACAAAATTCGATTACAAGCTACTGAACACAGTGCACGGAGAGAGGTACAGAGACAGAGAGAGAGAGTTAAAAAAAAGATGTCAAACGAATCAAACGGAATTTAAATTAAAAAGTGCATTTTATTGAACAAGAAAAGTGGCGAAAAAACGCGTACACGAGCTGTCAATAAATTTCGATCAGTTTCCCGGGAAAAAGGATTATTATTTTCCGCACACGTCCGATCCTGTTTCATGCGCACACGTTTGCTTTTGAGAAGAGAAAAAAAAATATAAAATATATATCGACGAGCACGCAAAAACTGACATGATGAATTGTTTTCCGATTTGTATGAGCATGATTAAAGCCAACACAAAAATGAAAAACTTTTTTTTGTTTGCATGCGAAGCGGTTAGTATTTGGGTCCGCTTTTTTATGCTCAGTACATTTTTCTTCAATTCATCAATATGGCATGATGGCTGAACAACATTTCATTTATTTTGAATAATTTATGCATGTAATTTTTCTCGCGCATCATATCCGGCTGAAAGCGAATAAAATGACATATATCTTTATTAGGATAAAAGTGTGTGTGTGTTTGTCGCGAATGTGTAAATGACAATGGACATGGCTTCATTTCAAATGCCATCTCCGCAATACAAAACAAATTTATTTCAATTCTATTCTTCTTTTACCCATTTTTTTTCTTATTGCAATCGATGATTTTTGTTCAGCATGCATGAAAAACAGCGAGCATTTTTTTATTGAGAGGAAGAGAAGACATGAAAATAAACATAAAATTGAAAGGTAAAACCAATCATCGAACAATCTCATGGGTTGGAAATGGTTTCGGTTCGTTCATCAGCATATGGATTTGGCAATGCGAAACAAGATAAAAAAATGTGCACAATTGTGAAATTGAGAAGCCGTGTTAGATGGATGCATTTAGCTGCACGAAATTAGAAAATCGAGAAAAAAAAACGCTGCATACTCATACAACGCAACACTTAATTGAAGCAACAAGGCTGTTAGATGAAGACTCAAACGGACATGTTTTTTTTTTCTTTTGCACACTGTGTTCATTATGATTGGATCGTTGTAGAGAAATGGTCATCAATCATGTATCCATACGTAGGTTGCTCCATAATTTTTTTTAAAATGGTACTTATAGTGTTGCCCGATGTAAACCATTGTCATATTCGTAAAGTTTGATGTTTTGGTATGTATTCGTGCCCTGAACCTTTTGTCGTACGAACGCTATTTGTATTGTTTACAGTGACTGGTAAACTGCGACTCAACAAAAAAATGAATTTTACACGTGAAGATTTTCGTAAAATGATTTACTACGATTTTCGAAGTAAATTATCTCAACAACAGTGTTTCGATCGACTTCATTTGGCCTTTGGCAATGAAGCACCAACCCTTCAGACAATTTATAACTGGTACCGAGAATTCCGTTGCGGTCGTAGTTCGCTCAAAGACGAGTTTCATACAGGTCGTCCAAAATCGGCTGTTGTGCCACAAAACATCGATGCTGTCAGAAAACTGATTATGGAAGATCGTCATGTGACCTACCGTGAGATTGAGGCATCTTTGGGCATTTCATCCCACAGCATACATACAATTTTGCATGAACATTTAGCCGTAAAAAAGATTTGCTCTCGTTGGATCCCACATAAATTGACCGATGAACAAAAAATGGCTCGTGTGAGTTGGTGTAAAGAAATGCTCAAGAAATTCAATCGTGGTGCTTCAAAAGACGTTAATAAAATCGTCACTGGTGACGAATCGTGGATATATGCCTATGAGCCCGAAACGAAACAGCAGTCGACTGTATGGGTCTTCCAAAATGAAGATAACCCAACGAAAGTTGTTCGAGCAAGAAGCACTTCGAAGCGAATGGTCGCCTGTTTTTTCGGGAGAAGTGGTCATGTGGCAACCGTTCCACTAGAGGATCGTAAGACCGTCAATTCTGATTGGTATACCACCATTTGTTTGCCCGAAGTGTTTGGTGAAATAAGAAAAAACAACCACCGTCGCAAAATAATTCTTCATCACGATAATGCGAGCTCTCACACATCTTTTCAAACTACTCGATTTTTGACCGGTCAAAACATCGAACTGATGGGTCATCCACCGTACAGTCCTGACCTGGCACCCAATGACTTTTTTTTGTTCCCAAGCGTGAAGAAAAAACTACGTGGTCAACGATTTTCGACACCAGAAGAAGCAGTTGAAGCGTTCAAAACACACGTTTTGGAGATATCAGTTTCGGAGTGGCACGAATGCTATGACAAATGGTTTCATCGAATGCAAAAGTGTATCGATCATCTCGGGGAATATTTTGAAAAACAATAAAACCATTTTCGACAAAAAACAACTGTGTTATATATGTTTTTAAAAAAAATTATGGAGCAACCCTCGTACAGTCATCGACATTGAACCATCATCAGCGTCGTCGTCGTCGTCACTACGATAAGCCCCTATTTTATCTTAACTTTGGTCGATCGAATTCGATACATTTGTTTATTCTATATCGTCTATCTTCTCAGCCAAGGGATCTCGGATTTATCACAAAGCGTACGTACATAGAAATGAAGAAGTTCAAAAAGATAGCTTTAATCCAACTATGATTGGTTGCTATAGACACATAAACAATGTTGAATTACACACACTCATCGTTCGGGTCGTACAATGATGATTGTGCGATGTGAAAGGAAAGTGGGCATGGCTTCGGATCCCTTTTTGGTGGTGTGTTCATTGTATGCTACAAAAAAGGGGACGAAAACATAGAAAGGGAACAAAATACGATACAGTGGCGGTGGCGTTGTATTGCACTGCGCATGTCACACCAAAAATGGTTGTGTATCATATTTTGATCGAAATTTTGTTGGTGGAAAGACTGAATAGAAAGAATGACATCTATAGATTTGTGTGTGGTTAGAGCAGTGCAACAGTTGATACAGTTTAATGTATCAGGATCGTGTATGCAATCTGCTGGTAAACCAGCGAATGAAAGCGTTGGTGCGACCCAAAACGGCAAGGATGCAACTCGTTTGAAATTCACAGCATTTTAATAGAGTCAACTCAGTTGAATGAACAGCACACACTTTCAGAGAGAGAAACAACAAATCGACTACTAAAACGCATCGCACATCAGTGACAAGCACACATAAAGGACGAAATCGGTGATGAGAAAATCATCTCATATTTTTCCACAATAAAAGTGTATTTTGTGTGTTCGATAGTTGACTTGGTTTTTTTTTTTCATTTCGGCAACGAATTCGAATATTGATGTTCGAACGATTCGACTCATAACAACGTGTATGTATTACAAGTCTCCGGCGTATTGTTAATCATTTTTGACAATTCAATTTGAACACAATCGATCGATGTGATTGAAAAGTTTTGCAAAAGCATTTTAACAATCAGCACATGGATAGTTCTAATTGAATATTTTGCGGTTCTGTCAAATAATACACATAAAATTTCTACATGAACCATAGACGACAACAAGACAGTGACAACGAAGAAGAGAAGATGCTGATAGCAATCGTTTACCACGTTTAAATTGTGAATTATGCAAATTGTGTGGATACTTTGATTACGCAATTAAACTAAAATAAATTGATTATCATTTAATTAAAAAGGAAGACAGCCAGTCGGTGTGTATGTGCGCGAACAGTGAAACGATACGAGGACATGAAGAAAAATAGTGCAAAGTGAGTACAAAAATAGAGAACAATTGAAATTAGAGTAAATGACAGTGTGACCCAATGAACTGGATTCCAAGGCAGATATTTTCAAAGAAAAGTTTAAATAAAAAAAAACACGCAATTTCCAGTCGAAGATAAATAAAAGGAAAAATGCCGACGCTCTCGACAAAACCACAACCAGATCAAGAAGAGTGATAGAAAAAAGTGACACAAAACGAATTTTCCACTTTTATTGAATGTGATGTGATTTAATTTAATAAATTTGAATAAATTACCAGACGAACAGTTCAACAGTCGATAGATTTGGCATTGTCTACATACACACATACAACCGAGAAATAGAGACAATAACTTGTGTATCTGTTTTGCTCTCGACGTACAGACACTTTTTCTATGTAAACGTGATATTTTAATAAATTGAATTGATGCGTCAATTGACCTTTGCGTAAAAAGTTTTTTACCATATGAATTACGAAACTAAAGTGGAACTACCAAACACAATCTAAGTACAATTCAAATTTTTTCTTCGTCAGTTTTAGTTTTTTCGCTTTTTCAATTGCGGCGTGTCTGGCGAAAGTAAATTTTTAATTCAATTTTTTTGTTGTTGCAAAAGACAACAAATTCTGTTTCGTAACACGTGATTCGGCAATTGTTTGTATTACAGCAGCGTTAAATAAAGCCTTAAACTGTACTTACCAGCAGATTTATTTTCATCGTTCGACAAGCCATTCGGTTTACCGGACAATCAATCACAATCGGTCGCTTGTAACGGCAAATTGGATTTTAAAACAAATTGCGTGGCCGGTGGTAGTTGTGGAACAAATCCAACATCAACCTCTGGCCAAAACATTTGCAACAATTCATTGAGTCCGTCGTTGGCCGACGGTAGCGTTGCACAACAACAGTTTAACATATTTCCGGCAATTTTTAGCCGTCAATTGAATTTTACGGCAGCAGCAGCAGCAAGTGCATCACAAACAAAACTCATGGATGAATTACGGCCAAATTTGGTGGGCGGTCTGTTGGGATTGCAACAAGGTTTGCTCGAAGATCATGCATTGGCACACGGTAATTTACAGCATAGTGGACATCAAGATTCGAAATTTATGTCATCATTACAAGATAATCGTCTAATGGGCATAACGTCACATGAAAATCGTCTTTTAGGATTATCGCATGACTTACGTTCGGCCGCCTCAATTAACAATTTAGACAATAGCAAAAATTCATCGATAGTCACGCATCAGAGTCGAAAATGTAACAGCACACCGGAAGATTTTAGTGCATTATACGGTGGATTATCGGCAGCAGGATTGGGTGATACATCGTCACATCATCATACACCGGCTCATACACCACCGTCACGACACGATCATTCCATTACAGGTAAATCGAAATAATTATTAATGATATAATCTTTTTCTTCAAATATAAAAAAAAACAATTTATGTAGATGATTATCGTTCGAAACAAACAAATTGAACAAGTTGTTGAAATATTAAGCTAAAAAACAAACAGTCACAGTGAAATAAGAACCCTTAAATACATATGAAGTCATTGTAATAAGACACTAATGTTAACAGCAGTGTGCGCATATGTTTGAAACATGGAACCATATACCGTCGGCAGATGTTTATCACATCACCCATTCTTTTGAATTGTTTCCACTCCAGTTTTCAATTGTGCATGAATGCAAGTACAATTCAATTGAATGACACATTTTCGGTAGAGATTTTGACACTTTTTATTTTCATGGATCGAAACAGCATTGAACGAAGCATCAAAGTAGACAACCAACAATGGGATTAAACCATTCATTACTCGGGCATCATAATTGATGATGTGCGTGCGTACACTCATTGCAGATTATCTGCAGATTAAGATCATTGTTTTGATCATTTGACAGTTAATAAAAATCACATAAGTAATTGCTTGTCGATGGTCAATTGACAGCAAAAATTAGTTAATTATTACAGCGTCCAGCAGCACACTTTCTTTCTTTCTTTTCGAAATGAAGATGAAAAGGCTTAAAATGAACTCCAGATGTGAATCCGAAATCCTTTTCAAATCGTTTACATTGTCGAATGTGGTCCGAATGGTCAGTTTTCTCAAATAATCCTCTTTCATTCAATTCAATAATTACATTTTCCAATTGAGAATAAATCGTTCCAAGTGCACATGGTTAAAAAACCGTTAAAAGTTTCCAAAATGTTTAGTCATACCGACGGTATTTGATGTTTTGATATTTAGATGCCGGTGTCATTATCTCACTCCAACATTTATTAATGTAATAATTTTGGTGGTCATTTGAACGTGATTTGCATAATAATTTACCCCGACAAAATGCCGGGGTATGCCGCATATCAAATGATACGGTCGCCGATGACATGAAACGTCAATTCAAAGTGCAAGAAGTTCATGGAAACGACGTTTGATTTTCGTGGCATCTGCAGATTTTATTTTGCATAAATTAAGCCGATTTTGGAAACCCTCTGACATCGACCACATTACAATGCTTATGAATGCAAATGATGTCGCAAGTGTGTCAGGTAATAATAAGCACCGTGTTATTTCACGTGCATAATTTTGTGTAGAAATTTATGCGATGGACAAATGTTGAATATTAAAATTTTAATGTCAAAATCCACGACAACGATTAAATGTGACCGTGTGACGGAGCGTCAGCGTACCTGAAAACTGCAATATTCTTTCATTCAGTCAACAGTGTTAACACTGACTACGATGATATTGCTTGATTTTGAAATGCGTTTTGTTCGTCTGAAAATGGCGTCGTTTTTTTCAACTGTTAGACGGGACGGAAAAATGAAAGAGGTCATAAATAGGCTGGATGCTCAAACGATGGCATTATCAACCAGATTTTAACTGAATTATGCATTTAGTATCCATTTGCTTTTCACACTTTCTAAATGAATTAATCTATTATCTTATTACTGCAAAACTATCAATTTTAAGCGCATAATGGTCGAGGATATTGGCCAAACCACAAAACCTTAAAACAATGTACCTTTTAACTGGAATGCATTTTTTGAAGTCAGCAGTTTTGTTCGAATACAAAGACATTTCCTAATTTTCCCTCTCTCTCTGTGTGTTATTTTTTAGTGATTCACAAAAAGCACAAAGGGTGCTTATCATTGTGACTACTTTGATATAAATGCATACGTGCTTGTTACGGTACGTAGAATGACAAAACCACTATCAAATTGAAATATTTCGAGAGAGAAAAAAATAGTAGTTTTCGCATCGAAACCACAAATTGACGTCATTCTCCATTCTGTGTGCATACACTTTGTCGTAGGTTTTTCACAATGTGAAACTCACTCTCAAAAACCCTTTGATGGGCTACGTTTATTGAATATACAAAACATTTGTAGCATAAGTGTGGACACTTTTTGTGATGCTCGTATGAAATATTGTGGGCGTGTGTGTGCTACGAAAAATATAAAATGGATAAGCACAAAATATGATTGAATTTACGATAAAAAAAATGCTCACATCGACCATTTTCCATTTTGTCATTCGTATCGAGCCCAATAACTCAATCATAGTTTCAAAATTTTATACAATTTTTATTTATTATTTATTTAAACGCATGCTCACCAGCATTGCATTAAATATAACAAAAAAAAAATTAGGTAAAATCTCGATGTTCGTTGTCATCAAAGAAATTCAATTAAACATTGATGCATTAAATCTTTGAATCATTGGTCTTTGCGATAGTAAATATAATATTCCAAAAATCATTGGCTTTTATAAATCAGCCAACAATTTGATTTTTTCTCCCTCGCAATCAAACAATGAAAAAGGCTTTTAGGATAAAAGCGTTTCTTTCATTTAAAAAACAATCTAATTTTAACTGAATTAAATTAAAAATGTTTGCTAAAATAAAAACAACATTTTCCATGGGGGCGTAATTAAAATATGTGAGAGTGAAAAATATTGACTGTAAAATCACAGAATAGTTGGCGCGTATGGACCATCCGTGGCCACATAAATATTAATAACTTTGGCTACAGCATTCGGTTTTTTTTAGCATCGATTTTGGCTTTCGGTAAAAATTATTTGCACTCTTCAAAACATAACAAATTTCATTAAAACAGAAATTTAATCATTTTTTTTTTGTTGTTGTTGTTGCTGTCGCCGTCACCGACCAACAACGAGTTCCATGAAATGGCCACAACAGTTATTATTAATGACAAAAAGGAAATTAAGTTTGTAATCAATAGTTTGTTAATGAATTGTAACATAATCATTTATATTGTACATATTCACATAGGCGACAGACATGTCGTAAATTGTCCGTTATTGAAAATATTTTCACACATATACACTTCATATGCAGTAAGTGGTCAAAACACATTAACTTTTTTGTTTGTTTGCAGCTGAAGGTGCATTCAAGAAATTAAAACCCGAGCCCAATTCCGGCTTGTCATCGTTGTCTGGCGGTGTTTCGTCACCAGGAAGTGGAATCTCATCGTTACCTCAACATGCTGGACACACACCGACCACAGCATCTTGTCCAACGCCAGCCAGACGAAGACATCGCACTACATTCACTCAGGTATGGCAGCAACATTTTCATTTAATTTCCACATTCAACGTTGCAGTCAAACTATTTTGATTTTATATCGCTTATTCATAATTTACAGCATTTGAAATTTCAATTCAAACAAATTCCGACATATTTTTTTCCGAATTTTTATTAAAACTATTGATTTCCTCTGAAATTAAACAGCAAAATATGAAAAGTATAACGTTTCCACAAATGTTCATTGACCTTAATTCAATCCGATTTGTTTTTCATAATATTCAAAAAAAAAAAAAAAAAAAAACTAGGAGCAACTAGCTGAACTGGAATCTGCTTTTGCCAAGTCACATTATCCAGATATTTACTGCAGGGAAGAGTTGGCCCGAACAACTAAACTGAATGAGGCTCGAATACAAGTGAGTACATCATCAACACAGTGTGTTTTCCTTTTTTTCCCTTTTCTTCTTCATCGTCACAATAACGTGATGACAAAAAGCCCTTAGCCGTGCTGTGTGCGCATTTTATAGCATCAAAAGTAAAATAAATTTATGTCAATAGGTCTAATTTACCAAGCCACTAAATGAATTATTCATTAAAATAACTGAATGATAATTACTCGGGCTAGGAATCATCGTGATAAAAAAAAACATGACTGTGGAAAACACCATGCAATCACTCCTACTTTTTTACAACCGGATCTTCATTCAGACTTTTGCCAAATATCGGCAAGTTTTTTTATTCTAGTATAAAAACCTGCCGAAAACAGTTTTCTAATTCAAATCCGTTCAAGTGTTAACTGTAAAAAAATATCGACAGATTCGACAGTTGTCCACATTTATTGAAATTGACAGCAGGGTGCATTTGAATTGTTCGCGCCACAAAAAAGTACTTACTCGACATTTCGATTAGTCCTGCTGTTTGGTGCAGGATGCAGTCATTTTACAGCAACTGAAGAAGCAAAAAAAAAAACAAATATCAAAGAGTGAATGATCGATAACAAACGATTTCATCTACATGTTTCTCCTTTTTTTTTTCATTGAACTACTTTCCAAGGAGCAATTTGTTTCGTTGAATAAATTGAATGAAGAATACATTTGCCAGGAAATGTTTCACCTTGACCATATTGATTGTGTTATGTATTGTATTCGATGTAGAAAATAAAGGCAGTTTCCCCGAGGAATCCTGAATTGCTTGTGTGCTTCGAAATGATGTTGATAAATGTCATAACCATGTCTCAACGCGCACAAAACTCATTTCGACCGTAAATTGGCCAAAAAATTTGCTATCACCGAATCTTTTGATTTTTTTTTCGCTATGCTGACCAATTTACTCCATCACAAAATATTATCTTTGCTTTATATCAATTTATTTATTAGACGCTTTTTTGGTTGTTTCCAATTTCGATATTGGCTCTTGTTGTGATTATCGATTTTGTCCTGTACAATTTTTTTTTATTTCTCATTGGTCTTCGAATGTTTTTATTGAATTTTCCGGCCAATGCTTCATCGTTGTACGATGCCGCTGTTTATGCTTCGCCGTGTGTGTGTATTTTTTCGGGGAGAGATGTGTTTGGTCTTCGAAAATATTGATAATTGAATTTCGTTTCGCCGAAATTGAATTAGTAATTCAATTACTGGGCTGAAATGCATTTTATTGCTTTGAATCTCGTTTAGACGATACAAAAATGAGACTCTCACACACACCAATACGTATATATCGAATATACATAGAGAATAAATCAAAGCCGCAATGAACTAAATACTCAAAAAAACTGCGATAATATCAAGGAAATTTTTTGTCTTCAATAAGTCTGGCGCGAAAAAAAAACACTTTTCTTTCTCATTCACGACAAACACAATATTTTAAAAAAATGTCTCTATTTTCTCCTTCGCATCTCGATGATACTAAGAACTTTAAAAAGTTGACTAATCCCAAAAAGTTGGGTCGCAACACAAAAAGTTCCACCCTCTCTATTTCGTTCATGGTACGCATTCCATTTTATTTTATCTGATCATATTTGTTAATGCTATCCCGATTATCATCAGCCTCGTCGCATTGTTTTTCTATTCTTTAATTTCGTTCGTTCCGTCTTCTTTTTGAAAATGTGTGATATGCCGGCATTTATGCAAAAAAAACCCTCTTTAAAAACTCGAAAGTCTTATTAGAACGAGCAAAAAAATGTTAAAGTTTTGCATGAGCGATGAGGGTTCAGCATTTTCAACAGACTAAATGGTTCTTCACGCTCGGCGTGTTTGTGTGTGGTTCGTATTTTTCTCTCGAGAAACAAAACACAGTCAACTCCGAATGACACGATGGTTTTGATATTCAATCAAACGAAGCACCACCATTCGGCATACCATCGATTTTATATACCATCGTCAGTCACTAATACGAAAAGACTATTGTTCCCCATTTTCTTGTCAAAATGAATATTCTCTGTTTTTATTGAACCAGTTTTGCACCATCCTTTTTTTCCATTCATTCGACGTTCGCATTCTCTTTCTCCCTCGCCCTCGCTATCACTCTGTCTCTCCCTCTTACTTTTTCGTTCTAACGAAAAATGTGAAAATTAATGATGTTGGAAACTGAAGACGAAACAAAGATAAGTACGATGTTTGCTTAAAATTTGTGGGTTGCTGTCGTCGTTCGCAAAAATCGTAATGGCGTCTATTTCCAATGATGAGACTATTATAATTCGTTCCTTTGAATTTTTCGGGGGCGCTGTCTCACACCAATGAGCGACAGAAGAAGATAAAAACACTCCATACATGATTCGCATGTATTCAGCAAATGGATTTTATTTTTCTCTCTGTGTGTATACTGTGTTATTATCAGCAATATTGTCTTTTTCAACAGATCCAAGAAATAAGAAGAAAGAGAACGAAGAAGACGACGAAAAATAAATGGACGAATTTCCAACAGTCATACTTTCTCGACGTTCAGACTGTTTTCACTTTGTCGTGGAATCGTCTTTTCTGCAAATGGATTAAATTGACGTTAGAATCAACGGCAAAAACATACAACAAATTGAGAGAGTTCAAAAAGCAGAAGAAAAGACACGATGTGAAATTACGTGTGTATCGCGCGCAGCATTCGTTCATATATCTTTTCTTCAAACGATGAGGTTGCACACGAACGGCAACAACGACAAAAGTAAAAACATAAAATTGTTACAAAAACGTCGAGCAAGTGGAATGAAAGAAAGAAAGCGAAGAAAGTGTTTTCATTGCGTTGATATTCTTTTTCATCTTGTTCAGCTCAATGACGTTGGTCTTTGCAAGCAAGTGCGCGCGCGTATGTGTGTATGTGCTATTAACGGTAATTTCCCAAGAAGATGGATCATTTTTTCAATCGTTTTTTTCTTTTTCTCTTCGCTCATTCTATCGCCATATCCATTAATGCCATAAACTCCATAATGTTTTCGCACTCGACTTAGTTAATATCAATATGATGTCGACATTTTAACCACTTTGTTCGCTTCATATGCGTCACTTTTTGCCCTGTTTACTTTTCGGTCGTATTTGCTTAATTTATCTGTGCTTGGTGGAATGTGAACAATATACATCTCTCTTTTTTATATTCACTTCACCATCAACAACAGCATCGAGATTGTTTTTTTTTGAGCGTTTGAATGCCGTTCGCTACCATAGACGAAAATGGAAAAATTATCGAAGAAAATAATTTTTTCTTATTCCAGGAAAACACGCACACAACTTTCACGGACGTTTTTATGCAGAACATTTTCTTATCAATTCTCTCTCGCTCTCTCTCTCTCTCTCTCTCTCTCTCTCTCTCTCTACCCCACCGTTAAGTACCGCGTCAGATCGAAAGTAAAAGAATAAAAGCAAGCAAGGAAGAAAGAGATATAGAGTCTAAAACAAAAATAAGGGAAAAACAAAAATGTACACCCAAACGGAAGAAGTGTGAGTGAAGATTTTTTCAGCAACGAGGAAAAAAGAATGGCGAGCAACAAAGATAAAATAAAAGTTACGGGTTGTACGAAGGGAAGATCTTAAGAAACGAAAAAGAAGAGAAGACAAATTTTCAAATGATGTTCTCGGCGAATGAGTAAGAAACTCGAGTTGGTTGTCGAAAACGGCAACAACGACGATGGAAAAAAAGCCTTGCAAAAAGAGAATGACACATAAACAAAAAAGAGAGCATCAACCAACGGCAGCAGTGGCATCATCATCGAAAATGCTCATTTCGCCATGATATTTTTGTGTAAAAGTTGGGGGTACGAAAAAAGCGAAACGATTCAATTCCAAATGAAAATTTGTGTGTCGAGGAGTAAAAGAAAAACCCAAAACAACAACGATACATAGCACAAATGCACATATTCGCCTTAACATTTTGCAAAACACATACAGATAGACACTCGTACGTACAAGCACATGTATGGCAGATGAATTTTCAATGCACGGGGGTGGAGTAATCAAATTACGTATCCATTTGATAGCATGGTAGACGTTAGTCTCCGAGACTCACTTTATGATGTGTTCCACATTTGCCATCAGCGAAAGATAGAGAATGTACCGAAAAACAACAACGCCACAACCCTCGCGCTGCCACCACCACCATCACCATCGCACACATTGTCACATTTTACCAAAAATAATTTCCTTCTTTAACTCTGCACACATCTTTCTTCTTCTGCCATCGCCATATTGGTTTTTCGAATCGAAATTTACCCTCGTAACATGTTTCAGAGGACACCGTATTCACTTGTGCCAATAAGTTTTTAAGCATGATGTGTACATTCTTGCTGTTTGAAGGGAAGCATTAACAAAATGAAAATAAGAAGAAAAAAATAACAACAACAGCTACATCGTGCAAGTGCAATGTCGATGAAATAATAACATCGGCATTGCCAATTTCTCTCTGTGTGTGTGTGTTCTGTCTCCCTCTCTTTTGCCATCTCACACCATATACCATTTCAATCTCATGTATCAGCGCATCTTTTCATTTATACCGTACATTTTTTTCTGATCTTTTAAAACCTGCAAATACTTCAGCATCGCGCGCATCCTTTGAATGTTCACTTTGAGTGCATATATTTTCCCTTTTTTTCTCTCGGTCCATGTCATTGACAAGAAGTAGTGTCTTTCGTTATTCTTATAATCTAATTGAAACAGCATAATATTATTTTCGTACGCATTTATTTTTGAAAGTATAAATTCCGCGATAAATGCAAATGAATGCGAAAAAAGCGCACACACTCACGGCAGAACTGGCTTAATTCTCATTCCAAAGTTATCTCATTGTTAAAAAGTCAACAATAAAACTTAATTTTCTCTCAACAAAAAAAGATATCGTTTAAGGCCTTATTTGCTAGACACACGATCGCGAACGATTGTAATCGTGGACGATTTTTTTCGAAATCGGTGAAAAATCGGTCGCCGATTATGAAAAACCCTTTGCCGATTAAGATCGTGAACGATTTATAACAATCGGTAGACGATTGAAATCGTCCACGATTACGATCGTGTGCTTAGCAAATAAGGCCTTAAAGGCCTTGTATTGTCACTCATGTGTTAATTTAATCGATTTTTGTATTTGAATGTGTCGTTTAGGTTTGGTTTCAAAATCGCCGTGCAAAATATCGAAAGCAGGAAAAACAATTGCAAAAGGCATTGGCACCATCGGTCATACCATCATGCAATGGTATGATGCGAAATATTCAAGGATACAGCGTATCAAGAGGCTATCAGCCATATCCACATCCAAACTCGATTAATCGATATCCACAAGTAAGTGGTGCTTCAACACCTTTTAGGCCATTTCCATTTCTTTTCTTTTAAATTCAAATTCACCAAATTTATTCGTCGCAGGACTTGTTTCAAATGGGTGCAACATCGTATCCGGGCATGACACAACCATTTTCAATGGGTCACACGTCAAACATGAGTTCGGTTGGCGTCCGGCAAGATTCAATGGGTAAGTGAAACATTTTTTTTGATAGAAATATTCAAGAAAAAGGCTTATATACATCGTGAATGTTAAATTCTTGTGCGCGCATCTTAATAAATTTTTGCGAAAATTGTGTTAATTTTGAATTTCCGTCAAGGGCGTTGATTTGGCGTTGTAATTTCGAACAAACATATACAATTCAGGGCATCACACGAAAAGACACATTAGCGATATGTAATTTAATGAAAATATTTTCATCTACTTAATCTATTTCTTCGTCTTGCACACTATTTAGGAATGTCAGCCGAAGACGAATGGTATAACAAGAGTTTATCGGCATTGCGAATGAATTCATCGCATCATCCGAATTTGTCGGCACCGATGTTGCAATATCAAACATAATTAATGTCGAACGAGGATAGTAAAAGTATCGACGAAAACGATACTTTACTATACTAGCAATAATATTTAACAACAACAGCAACAACCGAAAAGGCATCAGATGCGGCAACAGCAACTGCATTCAAACACTTACCAGTATACAACAGTCGACCAGAAGTATCCATCCAATTAGATTCATTCATCTAAGCTGGAATTTGCAAACAAGCAGATCGAGAAAATCTGTTATTTTGATGAAAATATATTAATATATAAATAAATTTCCAAAGAAGAAGAGGAGGAGAGAGACAGAGGGGGAAGGAGGGAGCGAAGAAATTGAATTTATGCAATTTTATCACCAAAAACAAATTCCATAAATAAGATTTTCGAGTTTTTTTTTTATTTTAACGAATAAATTGAAAGGGAGTGTAAGTGAAGAGATCGTTGTGTCACACAGTATTTACAAATATTCCAAAGATTTGTTAGTTTTAGTGTAAATATATTACTTAAGTGGATGCAGTCTTTTTTTGACGAAACAAAAATGTTCGGCAATTTATAATTAAAACAAAACGATACAAGATATAGAAAATAATAATTTTGAATGCAGCTGAAAAGAGAATATATTTTCGTTTGTCAAGAGAAGAAATTGCTTTTAAGATGTAACATTTTTGATTTGTAACAAAAATTGAGTTTTTTTTATTAATCTTAGATAAATTGTTCGATTCACATTTTTCCATCTTCATTTCCTTAACGATCACAAAATTATGTAATAACATGTACGCTGTTCACATTTTTCTTCGTAATATTTCTTGATCTCTTAATTCTTTTTTTCTTCGTTTTAGCCATTTGCCATCAACAGTTGATGAAGATAAAACTTTAAATGATTTTTGTAACAAATATGAAACCAGATTTCTAACCAACTTTTAATGATATAAATAAAATAATTAGCGTTAAATGTATGAAAATAATCCGACAAAATAATCTATGGAATAAGCATTGGTATATATAGAAATGAATTGTAAATTGACTTCAATGACGATTTGAAAGCACAGTTTCCTTTGCTATATTCCATTATGGAATTGTGTGACATTGTCAACAACAACAAAAAAATGACCATTTCAATAGTGCATGTATTTTCCTGAAAATCAACACGATCTACAATTGTCAAATTCTGATAAATCAATATCTTATAATAATTCAAATCGCATTGCATCATCACTAATTTAACAAAACCAATAACCAAATATTTTTTGTGTGTTCTGTAAATATTTGATGACAAATGAAAAACAATGAAAGTCTAATGAAATTATGAAAACGAAATCAATAAAAAATAAATAAACAAAAAAAAAGAACGAAAAACTGTTGATTTTACAGCTCAATTGCGTATCATGTATAACAGGATATAGAATGTCGCTGCATCTGCAAAAAAAACAACAAACAATTAAAATGAATTCTTCCACAGTCTTTTTGCATCCAAACTTACCTCAAACATCTTCGAATAAATCGTGGCGGTTTGTGTATGGTCCGTTGAATACAGTGATGCAGTTGACATACGGGTTGTATGGCAGATTTGTTTGTAGTTTGGGTGTGACATAGAAAAATTGTGATTGGCCCGGTTGTGCAACGTTATTGACCAGCATTTCGAAAACAAGACGTTCATTGTTTGGATCCATGCCTTGATTGATCTCATCGACACAACGGAAAGGTACTTGCGATAAATGTTGCAATGATAAACTGTAAACGGCAATGGCCACCGCTCGCTCACCGCCCGACTGTACAAAACGATTCAGCGCTCTCAATTTTTCACTGCTTCGGTACTTCACTCGAATCTCAATACCATATTGTTCATAATCACGGTCACTTGGATAGATCAGTTCAACTTCGCCGGCACAGTCCATCGATGTCATGAAATCGGTAAAATTACGATTGATCGAATTTACCATATCGTTAATTTTCGGATACCATTTGTTATGCAATTTACTGATTTCAATCTCCATTTCGGCGGTGGTTTTGTTTCTTTTTCGCAAATCTTTCTTGAGTGATTCAATTTGTTTTAGTCTATGAAACATTCAACATACATTTTCAATGAAAATAAAAATGGTTTTAAAAATAAAAGTGTGAAATTTTTATTATATACCTTTCATTGTAATCTTCCAAAACAGCCTGATCGTTGGATGAGCGACAGCTAATCTTTTGTTCAAGATCGTCGTACTCTTCCTTCAGTTGAGATTTGTCATCGGAGAGTTCATCGAACTTTTCTTTATACGGAAATTTATCACCTTCGGTTGGTCGATGATTTTCGGTCAAACTCAATGCTTTCACTTGTTTATCCTTAGCCTCTTGCTTTTTCTTATCGAGCACCTCACCAATTCGATCGCAATATGTTTTGCATGTGGTAATTTCATCGTTGCATTCCATGAGCTCAGCATCGAAATTGGTTGTACCTAAGGGGAGAATCACAAAAGAAAAGAATAAAATTTAAAATAATCGATAAGTAATCGGAAAAATAATCGGAAAACAATCAATAATAATTAATAAGTAATTTTTAAGTGATTTGCCCATTGGTTGTACCATTTTTGAAGATGACCAAACGTGCCTTTGCCTTCACTTCATTCAGTTCGATTTTCATCATTTGATCGTACGTGGTGATTGAGGTTTCGTGGAATTTTATCATATTCTTAATAATGTCCTTGGATCGTTTGTCAAACTTTTCCTTTTCAGCGTCAACATCAACCGCTTCGTTCATCAGCCGTCGTATTTTGTTTTCTTGCTGTTTTATCTTGTTCGTTAATGTACGGTATTCAAGGATATGCTTTTGATGTTCACTCTTCTCTTGAAAACCGGCCTTACATTCTTGTTCCAATTGATTTATTTTTGTTTCGATTTGATTTCGGGTATTACGTAATTGATCGCATTTCTGAATCTGTTTCGTTTTCTCCGCTTCCAGATCATCCAATTCACGTTGGCTTACACGAACATTCAGCATATTTTTAGCTCGTAGCACGTTTGACATCAACGACTTACTATTGGTATACTTTGACTTTTTAAGAACGACCCGATGGGTTGGTGTGAAGAATAATCCCAATGAGTCCGGCAATAAATCAGCTTTACGCTCTAAATTTTGATTACCGATCAGAACATTTTGCACACCGTAAGTCTGACACAAAAAATTCAAAATTGGAAATGGAGCTTCAATGCAATCGACCATATAAATTTCACCGCCAAGTTTACGCAACTCACTGATGGGCTCCTTTTTTTCAGAAATAAAAACAGAAAATTAGTTAAACAAAAATGAGAACAGATAAAAAAAGATGGATAAAATAAACTAACCCGTGGTTTGTATTTCGACAATAGACCATTTGCAGCCGGCGAATGAATAACATTGACTTGCCAATTGTTGTCGACGCGCATTATTTTTATGAATTTGTTCATATCTTCCGTTTCTTCGCACGTGAATGCAATCAAATCAGGAATTCGTACGCAATTTTCAATGTATTTGCTATATTCGTTGCTACGTACATTGATCTCCATCACCATTGGCTCATAGATTTTTCCACGGAACATGTCATGATTATTGCGCAACCACTGCACCGCATTGTATGTGTCGGAATGTTGTGTTTGAAGATAGTTCAATTTTGCATCGGCCACTGAATTCAACGCCTTTATTTTATAATCTATGTTGTTAATGTACGGTCGAATTTCATTGTCAATTTGACCGTTCACCTTGGCACGAGCTTCGGTAAGTTTGCGTACGTTTGTACGTTTATCTTCAATATTCATATCGATTTCGGTCATCATATTTTCAACCTGTTCAACCGAACCAATTGTCTGCAGATAATTCTCGCATTCTTGCTTGTATGTATTGAGAACGAGTTGATTTTCGTCCATTTTTTGGTCACGCTCTTCAGCATTTCGGATGTATATATCAAGGTCACATTGTGCATTCCGCAATTCGATTTCCAATTTTTCAATTTCGCCACCAATTTGATCGAGGTCATTGCAGTATTTTCTCTTCTTCGACACTTCGGCTGACAATGATTTCTCATACTTTTGGCGCTCTTTTGCTTTCGATTCGATATGCTTTTGTAGATCGTTCTTTTTCTCCATGGCTTCATCATATTTTTTCTGTGTCACCTCAAGATCAGCGCTGATTTTCAAACATTCCGCATATGATTCTTGAAAATCCATCCACGCCAATTTCTTTTCAATCATATTTTTTTGATTCACCAAAATGTCACGTTCACGAATACTTGCAATGGTGGGTTCCAGCAGTTCAACATGACGCTCATGTTCGCGCAACAAATCTTGTGTTCGTTGAACATTTTTGTTGTCACTCAATTGATTGTGACGCAATTCTTTGAGTTTGTCAAATGTTTCGATCATTTCTTCTGTACAAACCGATTTCTGTGTGCTGGCAAACAGTTCTTGTGTGGAAGGAAAATTATGTTAATTCAAAATAGAAACCAATAATATGGTGGCCAAATTACCTTGTGGATTTTGCTTGGCAAAATCTTGAACACGTTCTTGCGGCAAAAATTGACATAAATTTCCGACTTGCACATTTAACGCATTGATTTCATCGACATACTGTTTTTCGGTAACTTTACGCTGATCGATGTAGTATGTGCTTTTGTTTTTTCGATTAAATTCACGAGTGAAATTGGTCTGAGTGCGTCGTTCATCTTTGTACACGGTAATGGTGATGTGTGCATTCTCTTTGCCATTCTTCACATAATCATTTAATTTGTTGCGTTCGGACAAAATCTTTGTACTGCCACCCATACCAATGATGATGGATGCGACAATTGATGATTTGCCAGTCCCATTTGGCCCAATAACCTATGCAATTCAATTCAATAAACAATATACAGTTATTCGACGAAATAATTTCAAATGACGCAGCCAGAAATAGTAGAGAAAAAAACACATAGAAGATAACGGGAATTGTTGAGAGTTAAGTGAGATAACATCCCATTAACAAGTTCAGGTTACATATCATACACATCATCGAATTCAAATGAAATTCAAACTCACCAGATTTAGATGTTCACTTGGATGAACAATGGCTTCGGTGTGTGTAAGAAAATCTTTTAGATGAATTTTTACTATTTTGCCGGCAATTAAATGCTTGTTCGGTATAGATGCATCATCAGATACCATCGATTGTTCATCATCCGATGAATCGATGTCCATGTTGTTTATGCTTTCTGCTATTCGCTCGAAATCACAATTAAACTTAAACAAATACGAATTACACCACAATATATAATCAACAACGTCTGTACATCGCCGATCCGTTTATAAACTAATTGACTTTGACAGGAATTTGAGCGCGAAAGCGTCATCTATAGGTAAATCCCATAACTGCCAAACTCAACCGGCGAAATCGAATAAAACGCTGCGTTTTCATTGTGTATGCGTTATTTTTATTTTAATATGTATACTTTTTTTTGTTTATTCACTACTAAAAATTGAGATTTATGCTAACATCCGATTTGGCCCGTTTCGCTGGTTTGGCCGCTTTTAAATATGGATTGTCAATGATTGGACTTTTAATCTGTGGTGATGTGCTAATTGAATCAATCGGTGAACTTTGATGATCATCACTCGAAATATTTTTCTCGTCTTTTTCTTTGCCATCACCGTCTTCGTCGTCGTCATCATCTTTCGCAATCATGTCTTCGGTTCTATTTGCTACTAAATAATGATATTCCAATTCCTCCCAGTCGAACACTTGGTCTGTGGGATTTAATGCCGCCAAATAGGGTGGAAATGATGGCTTACACGCAATTACTGTGGACAAAGACATTTAATTAAATTCATTCCAATTGAAATAAACACGACGACTTACATGGAAACATTTGATTATCTTCGGATGCAAATAAACAATCTGTGTCGCTTGTTTTCGCCAAAAATCGTGTGAGCGCCTTTTCAATATCGCGTTTTTGTGAGGCGGCCTTTTCACGAATCGCTTCATATTCGGTGACCGGTTGTTTGTGTGTCGGTGTTCGAACATATGCATGTGGATCGGGCAGTGGTGGCAAATGGTTGGGTATGTGTGGCGGATGTGATTGTTTCGTACCCGCTTGCAGTAAATTCAATTGTTTTTGTGTGCTTATTGTTTGTGGTGCTGGGATTTTGTGAATATCTCGTTTTACAAATTCTTTAATTCCATCCATTGGCAGTCCAAGATTTGTTAAAGCCACTACAACATCGCCGAGAAATGGTTGCGTTCGTCCCGATAATTCGGCAAAATTTTTCGATGTATGTGCTATTTCTACGAGAACTGTATGGAAATACAAAGGAAAGGTGATTAATAGAAGCGTTTTTTTCTTCATTTTGATAACTAATCCGGTGTGAAACTTACGGCTTTGAAGCATCTAAAATATGAGAAGAAAAAGTGAAGTAAAAAAATTGCGTTAAAATCCATTTGAAATCGATGGTGAAAAAAATGAAACTATTACCTCTGTTAATGATTCAACGCATTGTTTGTCAGCTTTCGCAAATCCCGATTCATTTAAAACACCAGCCACAGCCATTTGTAGAATATTTCGTCTTGGATTCGGTAATAATTGTTCTTGTTTTTCCATTTTATCAAAAAAATCTTTGTTTATGTCAAAAATATACAAAAAACTCGTCCAATTTAACTATAAAAAAATCTATGTGTTTTCAGTCGTCAGATAAAAAACAAAAATATACATCAAAGTCCAAAAAAAGTGACAATCGTCCAAATGTCAAGGTAAAAAGTAAATGAACGCATCGAGTGCCATCTATGAATGCGTTTCCAGTTTGATGCACAGCTACGTATCGAAACACCGTTGCGTAATTCATCACGTAGCCTGCTATGTCTCTTTTTTTCACTCTCATACAGTAAATTATAAACTGCGTCAGCGCATTTATTTCAATACAACAACAGTACGTTGTACGAACGCACACACCATAGACATTTTGTGTCGTTCGTATTTGTTTTGTCAAGTACATATTGCATAGTGGCGAGAAACGGCAAACATAGATTTTTCGTTGTGTGTGAGCACAAACACATATGTACGCACTGTGACGATAACAAGTCAACTTAGAGAAAGAAAGACGAAGAAAAACCGTGTGAGCTAATGTGTGTTGTGCTGCAAAATTTGTAGCATCAAATAAAGTAACCATAATCAAAATTCTCAATCAGAAGTGAGAAAAAATTTAGTTTTCGCATCGCAAATTGTAAAAGTGAACATTTGTGCTGGAAACGTGTTGAGATTGTGAGATACTGAAATTTTTATTTGGATTTTGAGTGGGAAACCTAGTGATATTTGTTTGCACAAATGCAAAAAGCTGAAGTTGTAGTGTCCGCGCTAAATTATTCAGTCCCCTGTCCACTGTATTTTTACGCTTTTGCCCGCAAATAATGTTGACCGAACATTATAAATCCAAACATTTTGGCTCTGTAAGTATTCACAATTGAAACAATCAATTTTAAATTGATTGACAATATTCTCACATGTTGATGCAAAAACTTGAAAACTTCTTCTTCTTCTACTCGCTCCATTGTGTATGAGTTTTTGTTGTTGTTTTTATTATTATTCTATGGATGCTTCGCGTCTGTTAGCACTCACAGACAACCTTATGAGGTTATGTACGTTCTTTGCGCCAATTTGTGAGCTTTTCACTTCTTTTTTCTTCTTCGGTTGCTTATGTGTTGTTATAATTGCGTGCTGGGGCATGCATTTCGTAAAATTTTTATTTATTTATTTTTCATTCGTTCTTCTTTTTCTACTTCTTCTTATTCTTATTTCTAGTGTTTTAAATCGCACAACGGAGTTAGTGACTATGTGAAACGATCGCATTTGTCTGTGTGTACGCGCTGTGTATTTTAGAAAGTTGTCTTATTGTACTATTAAAAGTAACGAAAAAACAATTCACGTAAACACCACGACGAGTACTTCATATCATTTGTATATCGAAATTTTAAAAAAAAGTGTCACAAAAGAAGAGGGAAAAAAAACATATTTATAAGCCCATAAAACGTTCATATTTAATTTTTTTAAAGAAATGAATGGAGAATTTTCAGCCACTACGCATAAAAAAAAAGAAATTCTGCGTAAATTCTCTGATGACTTTGAAAAGAAAAATTCTTGCAACATTTGAAAAACTCACTCCACACAATCAGTCGCTGTCAGCTGTTTTTTGTTTAGATTCCATTATTTATTTATTTGTTTTGATGTGTGTTGCATTTTCTCCTCTTGCCCAATACAGACGATGCCGAAAACCCTGTATAATTCATCAACCCCGATAAAACCGAAGTTCGATCCAGTTAGTAAGAATAGCAGCACCACTAATGTCAATTGCAAAATGAATTATGAGAAAATATTTCCGGGCATTTATATGACATCGGTCAAAGAATTGTGTTCACCTGACGATTTAAAAATTTACGGTTTCACACATATAATTTATATCGATAAGCATATCATGGCGAATTGCATTGGTTCGGATGTGCAATCGTCGTCGCACAATGAAAGCACCACTGTCAAAACTGACCACCATGAAAATGTGATAAAGTGTGCGGAAACATCGGTATTAACCGCATCAATAACAATACGACGACATTCAAGCCAATCGGTGTCATCGTCGTCGTCATCGTCTTCGTCGTCGCCGTCATCAAACCCATGTGTTCTCAGTTCAAGTAGCAATAGTAGTTCAATGATGGATGATCGATCATCGTCCAAATCAACAGAAGCATCGTCATCATCGTACAATCATGAAATGCGAATTGACGATGAAACGCCATCAATGAAACGCTATGCCAGCAACGAGAATCTATTCGGGCACCGTGATTTTGAAACATTAGATTTAAATTTTGGCGAATCGGCCTATTTCACTGCCAATGTGTTACCAAATTGCTACAAGGCCGTTCTCTTTATTGAGAATGCATTGAAAAATAATGGTGCCGTGCTTGTCATCGATTGCATTGGAGAAAATCAAAAATGCATTACAATTGTCATCGGTTTTCTCATGTACAAATACAACAAAAATTTCTTGTAAGTTGCAACATTATTTCCATTCTGCTGTATTTTTTGTGTTTTGTGTTCATTTACAAACAATAATAATAAAAATGTGTTGTTGTTTGTTATCGTTTTTCATAGGACCGCTTATCAACTGATAAAACGATTGCATCCAAATATAGAGTTAGATAAGTTCTTCACAACACAACTGTATGAATATGAGCCAATCTTACAGGTGCAACGTTCACAGTCTGCCGGCAATAGTTGTTCGCGTGAGCTTCGCTCTTCACTATTGAAACGAAAGAAGTCCTACGATGATTGTTACTATTATCAATCGGATGCAGTGATGTCAACACTATTGCCGCACAGTCCATTCGTTAACAACGTTGAGCAAACAACCGATATTCTAATGGAGCAATAAACCATTCACAACACACAAACAGTTTTGATGAGAATGTTAAATGAAACTTGCTAGAAAACGAAGCAAAAAATAATGGATTTATAAATATAACCAAGTGATAGGCCACCTTTGAAAAATAACAGTGTGAAACGTTTTGAGGTGTCAGATATTAATTAGGATTCCTTTTTTTAACAAACAAAAATTATAAATATATTCTTTTCCACATTCTCTTTTGATATGAATGAATATTTTAGATTTCTTTCTCAAATCCCAACCTTCGTATCTAATCGCAGCGTAAAATAGTGCGCCGCAAATTTAGTTCAGTTACAGATTAGCTACTCTATTTTATGACCATTTTAACCGTATCATCGTAGTGCACACACAACTATTGTAAGGCCGACCGGATTGGTACATAGAATTTTATTACACAGGTCCATATCCTATCGCGTAACGTTTTCTCCGCAGAAAAAGGGTGTTTCTTTTTTGATATATGTATATTACTCTAGATTTTATTTCAGTTCGGATCATTCATACCGAAATTAAGTAAAAAGTTATTTTTGTTTCTCTTTTGCAATCTTAAATTAATAGAATTTCGGAAATTGTATTCTTTGTAGAGCATAGAATCATGAGCATTAGATCGAAAAAAAAAATGTTAGAAAACATTTGCTGTGCAGCTAATATTGGCCGAATAGATTTAGAGAAACACTGTTAGCGATGAATTTAGGGAAAAGAGATAAAAAGGAAGAAAAAACCTCGATACATGCTATGCGATGTAGTTAGAAAGGTGATTGTCTTTTTTTGTGTTTAAACTAAAAGAAAATGTTCTTGACGTCAACAGAATCCACCGAGTAAACTGTTGCATGAAATTTGACTGAAAAACAAAAAAACACAAACAGAATACATATACTAACCAATTTTAATGGAAATGATGTAAATAGCAAATCAATGAAGCCGTAGTCTAAGCTTAGTATATAAACATGCGACTAAATAAAACAAACAATGAAACAAATCCATTTGCAAAATCGATATATAGCAGCATATTATTATTAACTGAGACAATTGAGAGACAATTACAATAAATGTTACACGTTTCAGTTACTATTATTACATATTATCATTATGCATTTTGCTAAAGTATGTCCGCTATTCGGGTTCGTGAGTAAAATAATAAAATTGAAATTGCGTGTTCCGGATCTTGTTTTGAATTTTTTTGTTCTTCTTTCTGTTCGCAAAACAAACAACTTTCAATAAAGAAATTTTTTAAAATAAAATTTAAAAATAATGCAAAGTGATGAGTGTTGTCATAACCATTTTTTATGATTAATTTGATTTCATTTTAATCCTCCTCCAGTTTGTATGTTTCTTGTAGTTTCTTTTGCAGTTCGGTTATTTTAGCACATTTGATAACATGCTGTTTCATTCCGACTTTGCCTAGGGTTAATCACAAAGAAAAGAATGGAAATAATGGATAGCATTCTTCAATAATGGAATAGTAATTTTAAAATACGAGGTGACTTACTCTTGAAGCGTTTGTTACAAATTTCACAAATGTACTGCGTATCATTATCTTCGCTTCCAAATGGCTTCACATCGCCCGATTGACACTGTCGAATGTGTTTTTGACAATTGGAGAAGTCCCCAAAGTGACGATCACAATCTGGGCATTTATACGGCTTGATGCCTAAATGTCTGTATACATGGGATTTATGCTGATCCTAAAAAAGAAAGAAAACTTGTATGTAATCCATATATAAAGTGTCGATTTTATCGATGGCTTACCTTGCGTACGAATCGCTTCTCACAAAATTCGCAATTATAGCCGACACCATCTTCGTTCTTCTTATGAGTGAGTTCGTGTCGCTTCAAATCGTAGTTTCGTTCAAACGCTCGGCCACACTGCTTGCACTCGTGCTGCCGAATATTAACGGTGGACGCGTTGTGTCGTCGCAAATGTTTGTGTAAATCGCCCGATGCTCGGAATGCGTAGCCACAGTTGGGATATGTACATTTGAACGGCTTCTCGCCCGTATGGATGCGAACGTGTCTGTTTCGAATGAGAGCCAAGTTATTAATCATTTTAATTTACAAAACAAAAGAGATAATCAAAACAAACCCATCTTACCTGGTCAAATCACCGGTGCAAGTGAATGAGCGATCGCAGTATTGACAGATTTTGCTCTTCTGCTTCGAATGCAATCGTAGAATATGAGGACCAAGACTGTATCTATTCGATACAAGCTCATGACAAATCGGACATTCAAATTTGTTATCTTCCGTGGGAATGGCATTTTGTACCACTTTTTGAATGTATTCATTGGTGTGTTTTTCCGATTTATTTACAGTAGCATTTAATAATTTTGCATCTTTATCGTCTTGATCTTTTTTATTGGCATCGTCTTGACTGAGGAAATGTTTCTGTGCAATTTGTTGAATTTTTCCTAGATCGACTTTGACGGGTACCTTTTCCACTTGAACGTCCACATATTCGACTTGTTCTTGACACTCTTCATTCGCAACAATGCGACAATGAACACTGTTACTATCGTTGCCGACCACCTCAAAATCAATACCATTCTCAATTGGATCCAATTGATTACTTTCATACGTTTGATCTTCAATCACATCGATTAATTCGTATTGCTCTTCATCGTCGCCAGATTGAACGATCACCATAACAGTTTGATCGTCTTGTTGGATCGCCTCGCCACCCATATCATTCTGTTCAGTTTCCAAAATATAGTTACCATCATCGCCTATTAAATGTTGTTCTTCGACAGCATAATTTGGATAACCATATTCATCGATATTGTCTGCTACGATTAATTCACCCTCATTTGTTTGTTCATAGTAACCATCGGCCACCAAATCTTCTTCAATTGTTTTTTCTTCATATTTTTGAACGATGTCTTCACCTTCGATTTCATTTTCCTCTTCTTCGCCAACAACATCCTCATCACTGTCATCGCCCAATTTGGCAATCAATTGGAATATGTCTTGTTGTGCTTTGCTTGTCTTCTCGAATATCTCCTGTTGGACTTGTAACAATTTTTGTTGGGCGGCCAATTGTGCTTTTAATTGTTCGCGCAGCGTTTGTTTGCTCGGTGACACCTTTGATTTCTTTTTATTTTTCTCCAAGCTCTTTTGAATGACATCCAATTGTTTTTTGTAATTCAAAATCTTTGCTTTTTGGTCGATTTTCGGCTTGGCGCTTGATGATGCTGATGACGATACACCCGCATGACTGGTTGCGATATGTTTTTTCAACCATGATGTCGTTGAGAAATGTAAATTACAATGTCCACAAATGATATCCTTGTCGCTTGTCTTTGCGGGGGTTTCTTTTGATTTTACTTCTTGGCCGGCTCTTTGACCTGTCTCGATTGTTTTCTGCAACAAAAATTGTTCCTCAGCTTAAATTCAAATAAAGTGGATTTAACGATAAACTGGGCACTTACCTTCGACTCCACTTGAGACTTTACCACCGTTGAGCTACTTTTTATCAATTTTGTTTCGCGTGTTTTGGTCGTACTTGGTGGCGGTGTGACCTTTGAGATTGTTAACACTTTTTTTTCATTTTCAATTTTGACCGGAATCAGTTTGCCTTGGACCGTTTGTTTTTCCGGTTTCTTTTGAATTGATTGTGATTTTTTCGATACATTCAATACCCTCGACGAGACTGGCGCACCAATGGAGTGCGGTGGCTTTGTTTTTGTTTTATCCAAATATTTTTCGCGCTGCTTTTTATTGCCCCGCATTTTGGCAATTGATCATTTGATTTCGTTCAAATCACTGTTTATTTTCACTTGATTTTATGGAAATCTTTTGGATTTGCACGCATTTAATTTCCGAAAAAAGTTTATGAGAATTCGCACTGCGTTGTATTGTTACGAGGAGGAAAAAAAACTATTTATGTTGAAAATAATATGAAATGTCAGTGACAGAGTCTCCACTTGGAATTGGTTCGTGTGTAAATGGAACGGTCAAATGGATGGCGAAAGTGGAGAGAAAATTAAACACTTTTTGTTCAATAAAATCGAGTTATTATATGCCATCAAAAATACTCACTCAACACTTTATTCAGCGTTTGACAGATACGAAAAAGATACACACAACCTTGAGTAAATACTTAAAAAAGCAAAAAAGCGGCAACCATACTTAACACTCGAAATATCTACTCACATTTCTTATCCGATTGTTATGATTAATTTGATTTCATGTTAATCTTCATCTAGTTTGTATGTTTCTTGTAGTTTCCTTTACACTTCGATCATTTTGGCATATTTTGTTACAGTTAATTCAGTGATGATTTTTAATTATCGTCCAAAAACCAATAAATATATGGAATGGGCGAAATATATCTGTGAACTATAATCGGGCGTCTCCATTTAACTTCGGAAAATGGCTGTGACATTTGTTTCGCCCGTAAACAGCAATTAATGTTTGACATTTTGTTGTCAAACAAGGAAAGTGAGATAGTTTCATCATAAAACAATTAGCTAGGGAATAGGCAGGTTCATATGAAGAATAAAAAATTTAATTCAATGAAACCATTTTCAATTCTCATTTTTTGTTAATCGTGTGATTTTTGCATTGGATGGTTTCATTTGTAACAAATTGTGAATAGAAAAAAATAAATAAATAAAAAAATGGGAAGTGAAGTTGAGATAGATGATGTTAGTTTTAATGGTGATTGTGGCATTGATTACGATGATGATGATGGCATTGGTGGAGAACTCAGTCCAATGAGTTCATTGCTGGTGCCAGAGATAGCTCTTTCCGATGGCAACGATGATTTCGACGAGACAAACGGTGAGAGCAGTTCAAGCCTCTTAATCGAAGTAACAAACGGCATACGGTCATACAAATGTGATGTGTGCGAGAAACAGTTCAAAAGGAAGGCTCATCTAAGAAGGCATTATCGCCTTCACACCGGTGAAAGACCGTATGATTGTCAATGGTGCGGCCAAGCGTTTGCACGTTCCGAACAACGAAATCAGCACATGGCAAAGGAGCACAAACAAGCGCGCATCAATTGTAGCATTTGCGGCAAAGGATATAGTAACGACGAGGAGCGCATCAATCATATGGTGTTACATTTGGAAAATCGTTATTTTCGTTGTACAATTTGCATGAAAGAATTCGATAAGGCTAGTTTATTATCCGCTCATATGCAAATCCATACGAAAAACGAACCGATGGGCGAATCACGAAAAACATTCAAATGTACAACATGCTTGATGGAATTTACGCGATTCGATCATCTCATTCGGCATCAAACAGTGCACTCAGGTGTAAAAATGTTTCAATGTAAATTTTGCATGAAACGCTTCACTCGAGCCGATAATCGAACAAAACACGAAAAAACGTGCCGAATCGGACATCCAAATGAAACAAATGAATCGTTTGAAATAAAAGAAGAAGTTATCATCAAAACCGAACCACAACCACAAACGGACCCATTGGCGATTATCAATGTGGAATCGATTCCAGAAGATTATTTTGAAGACATCGATACCAGCAATAATACGGATGATTTATTGGAAAATATCGATTTATTTCAGGACACCACTGAAAATAGTTTAATTGAAGTTGAAAACAAAAAGCCATTGATCAATGCAGTTGAATACGTTCGCATGAAACAAAGTGAAGCGGACGATGATTTGAAAAAAATGGGCGGCATTCGGCAAAGAGTCGAGCGACCGAAATTAACGCATGAAGAAATTGCAACGCTTACCTGTAATATTTGTGGTAAAACTCTGGCACAAAAATATCATCTTGTTCGCCACAAAGTCATACATCTCAACCAAAAGCCATATAAATGCTTAAAGTGTTCCCGGTCATTTGCTAGGCGGGAGCACCTAAGGTAAGCTATTTATGACAATTTTGATGATTGAAATTGATTTATTAAATTATTTTAATTGCAGGCACCATTTAATCACGCACAAAAGACAAACGGAGAGAATGAATGAACTTGTTGAACAACACCGGCGAGATATACGCTCAACTCCCGCTCCAGTTCGGCCAAAAATCAAATCCGATCCATGCGTTCCATCAACATCCAAACCGAATCGGTACAGAGATACACTAACGGGCACGTTGAGACAACAGTTACTTCATCGATTCAAATTATTTGCAATAAAACTGAAGCACGAAAATATGAATCCGGAAAATGGTGATTTTTATGAACAATGCTTCAACTTTATGGGCAATTTGATAATGTCAAATATACAAGGTGTTAACAAAGAAATGTTTTCGGTTGTTTCTACCGTAAATAACCCATCACAAAATGTGAAAACGTCATTAATGCCAACTGTCACAATAAAACAAGAAGATGGACAATTATTTGTGAAAAAGTACTCGTGCAACCAGTGCGAATCATCTTTTCCAACAATCAGACATCTTGAAAGACACTCAGTTCAACATACCGGCGAAAAGCCACACATATGCGAAGTAAGTAGTATTAGGCCCGCCTTTTTATCAATTGACTAATTAAAAAATCTGTTATTAGGTATGTGGCAATCGTTTTACCCGAGCTGAACATAAGCGGAGACATATGGCCATTCATACAAATTCACAGAATTACGAATGCGAGATATGCCTAAAGAAATTCAGTCGCTCCGATCACATGGTCGCTCATTTTAAGGTGCATCATTCTGGAGTCAAACCATACAAATGTAAATTTATGTGCGGCGAACGATTTGATACGTTCAAAGAAAAATTATTCCATTCACGTCATTGCATAAATATACAACCGGCACCAACTTCAAATATTAAAGTCGATGAAATGATGCCATGCAGCAGTGAATCACAAGAAGATATACCAATAGCCGAAGATCCATTTGCCAATGGGCAACTCGAAAACAATGAACAAACCGATGTGCATCAATTTCAGAGCCATTTCATCAAAACGGAAGCGTTGGATTACCCAGATGACGATTACGATCCGGTCTATGGCTATTAGAACCATTATACATTTACCATTTCATGTATATTCTCAAATCAATTGCAAAGCGAGTGCACCGATTTTACTTTTCTCCGTTTATTGTATTAATTTTTCGTATTTAGATGTGGTTTTTTGAATTTAAGATAGTTGAAAAACATTTTTACAACTAAAAATTTTGAACTCATAAAATATTTTCAAGAGCAAAGAAATAAAGCGTATATTTTGCAATGAAGTGTACAAAACATTGAAATTATTTCATCTTTGTTAGTTGTTCAAATCTTCTTTATAAATAATAATATTAATCGATTTATTTTAATTTGAGAGTGTCCAAGCGTGATTCAAGCTTTCCAATTTCCTTCTTGGTATTTTCCAAATTGACAGCGAACGCTTGTTGAACATTTTGCAAGAGTGTTTTATTGCCGGCCAAACTAGTTAATAATGTTTGTTGTTGTGCTTCAAGCTCAGCGATGATTTTACTAAAGTTGGTCGCTAAAAGAGTAAATTACGGTAATTAATTTCACTATTTCAAATAAAAAATAAAATAAAATAAAAACTACTTTTGCTTACCATAATTATGAAGATTTTCAAGTGCTTGCATCCGTTGTAACATGTTTGGTAAAAGTTGTGCGATCGGTTCGGCTCGTTTAGCAATTTCATAAAGTTCAAGTGTTTTTTGATCGACCGATGCATCTTTGCTCAGATTATTCGATGTGGCGGCGATTGCATCCATTTTATTTGCTAAATTACCAATTCTAGTTTCGATCACATCCAATTGTGTTGGCTGCAACAATGCGGCCACCGTTGAAATCTTTTGAACAGCATCAAGAAGATTATTGGAATGTAAGGCCATTGAAAGTCGTCTCAATTTCTCCGGTTCTGCACCAATCACCGTTTCAATGTCGTGCAATTTATTTTCTAATTCAGCGATTCGTGTCGTTGTCACCAGCTCGCATGGTGTTTTGGTTGGCAACTTAGCCGCTGAATCACCTTTTTTGTATGCATCAATTTGTGCCAGTAAATTTTTCATTTCAGCATCGGCCGTTGCAACGGTTGCTTCGGAGCCCAACACTTGTTCCAATCGTAAACCGCTCAATACTTTCTTTGAATTGGTTACAACATTGCCAATTGCTTCGTAGCATTCTTTTTCCTCCTTCGATATGGCTTTGCTTGCATTCAAACCTTCCAATTCTTGCATCAATTCGTCCATTTCAAGTTGAAGACGTTGACACTTTTGAATGGGCGTCTCTGGTTCATCATCGTCGGTGCCGTATTCATAAATGCCGGACCGTGCATCATAACCCGAACGCAATCGACCACTTATGCGATCCGAAAAATCCACAAAACCAGTTAAATATTTGCCTTTAAATCGATTGTATGCATCTTTTGTGGAAATATGCAAACGCTCGATATTTTCATTTTCAGGCTCTTCGTAGAAATCGGGCGTTTCCTCTTCAACAACATCGGGTGTTTCGTACACATCGGGTTCGTCATGGGCCTGAAAACATATTATGCTTACTGTTTGGTTTTTTCTTCTTTAGGCGTTACCACAGTTTTTTTGGCAACGTGACAAATGCTACGACAAATAATTTTTTATCAAACTTACGATTCCGGGTAAATCTTCAAATTTTGGATCAACCATTTTTGTTTTTCGGATGAGAATTTTACAAACAAAGTTTTAGAAAGTGAATTTTTTCGTTCAATAAAACAAAATCGAGTTGTTATATGTCATCAAAATTACTCATTCTACTCTTTATTCAGCATTTGACAGATACAGACTGCTAGTATACAGACAACCCTGAGTAAATACTTAAAAAAAGTACAAAGCGGCATACTTAACTTTCGAAATTGAACTGTTTGAGCGATTCGTATTTTGTTCATTTTCAACATTTTTAATGCCCAATAATAATTAAAGACCAGTTTTTGTGGGCTCGACTTTGATTTCAAATTAAAAATCAATATCCACTCACATCAACTATTTAGTTTTTAATTTATAATGTTTTCAGTTTTAAAGTCTCTTTTGATAGGCCGACTATGTATTTGAACCGACTATCACTGAATGGGTGATTTGAAATGACTGATTTTGTTATTTATGAAATATATATTTGCCAGTGTGCAATGTGCCCTTACTTACGAATTAATCAAACGCCTAGCTCAAACATTTAATGACCTTAACGATCAGCGGTACTCTTTACAAGATTGTAACATTCTGTATTTCAAAAAAATTTACGCTTCTTTCGAATTTTTTATACTTTCTTACCGTATTTCGTATTCAGAATATTAAAAACCGTCCAAATCGGCATGTAAATGTTAAACAAAGCAAGAAATCTGTGTTAATAGATATTGTTTTTATTGAGACAAGTCTTTAATTTTATTGACATTCGATGTTTCAGAGACTTTTTCGGACAATATAGTACACTGATGTGCTTTTTTGTCAATATGACCAATTTTACAGCTAATAAAAGTTTATTTATACCTTCACATCGTTAAAATAAGTTAATAATCTTGCCTTTTTCCCTTCACCAAATCAAATACGTTACCTTCGTGTCAGTATCCAGATGATATTTTTCTCAGGAGATTTATCATTGAAAAATTTGATTCAAAAAGAAATAAAATTGTAAATAAAAGACCACAATTTAAATATCGTATCAAAAGTGTTGTTTTTTTTTGACAATTTATTTCGAATATGTAATTATGATTTCAATTGCATTTTTTCCCTCTCATCAGTATCAAAAAAAGTTTAATTGCAATTAATAATTTGTTGCCTTCATTTTCAACCATCACATTCGCCTTTTTACTACTATGCACCATTCTTCAATCTCATTTTGTATTACAAAAAAAAAGTGTTTATAAAAGTCTTTCGTGTAAAATATTAGAAAAAATGCAATAGCAATAAAAATTCGTATGCATATAAATTATTATAAGATGTTATTTGTCCACAATTGTCAATTTATCGTATCATATGGATGTAAAAATCGAAACGAAAAAAAATTATTATTCTTAAACATTAATGACATCACTTAATTGATAGTAATAGGCCGACTGTTTTTGTTTTGTTTTAGAATCTCTTAATTCATCTAATAAATTTCTTATAAAAAAATGTCCGATGCGCTAAACTTATAATATTTACTTTTTTGTTTTTGTTTAATTTAGTAGTTTTGCTTTACTCTATAGAGCTGAATAAAGTCCAAAGTATGTTGTTCTAATAAAAAAAAAATTGCTTGACTTCATACAATTTCCATGAGCATTGTGCAATATATGTGTAAAAACGATGAGAAAATGATATATTCAATAAATTAAATAAATGATCAAGATTTGTTATTTCCTCTCTTCTGTCTTCCTCTCCTGAATCTGTTTTATATGTATCTAATACCTATGTAATTTGAATGGAATTCAATTCCTTGCGATTGAAACGCTTTTTCTCTGTGTCGATTGAAAGGTGAGAAACATACAGAATGTGAGAGAATGAAATTATGGGATTAATTTCTGATAATATGGTTTATGGTCGTTTTTCTTGATCACGTAAAAACTTTTCGGTTTTCCATTGCCGGGAAAATATTTATCCGATGTTGATTTTGCAACGGCGGCGCCGCTATCATGGTGCTGGGTGGCTTTCTTTTTTTGTTTGGCCGGTGCATAGTATGTTGGTGACTTTTTCTTCAGCAATTTCAAATTCAAGTCATCATCGATGCCATTTATGTGAACGGTGCTATGAGATGCATTGACATCAACATTATTGCCGCGATGCTGTTTACCGGAGAATGCTTTGTCAAGTGTTTCGTTGTCATCCCATGGGTTTGACCACGTTGGTATATTTTTAATATCAATCAAATCGTTTACATCATTCGAATGTCGCAGGTTTGATGATTTGCGGCCGGTACTTTCGCCTTTGGTGAGCATTTTTTTCAATACTGGCAAATTCCAATGATAAATACGGCCAGGTTTGCCATTTGATTTGAAACCCATCGATGAGATCTGTTGCATACACCGATCGTTGATGTTGTTGTGGTTTTTGTTTTGTATCCAGAGGGAAGAACATGAGAGCAAAAAACGCAGAACATTTTTCGCGTGTCGTTTGAAACACGACATTTGAAATTGCATCCACGCAGATGTGTCGGAGCAAAAAAAGGTGATGGTGCCCATGCAGGAGTGAAGGAAGAAAAAAAACGCCAAACGTTGTCGACAGGTTGTTGACGATTTTGTGATGTGATTTCACATACGATGCACAGACAGGAACATTGTAAAAAAACCAGGATGCACGGAAGAAATGCGAATAAATGACAGAAAAAAGACAAAAAAAAAAAAGAAACAAGAATGAGAAATCTGCTTAGTAAATTATCTAAATTATTTCCTAATCGATTGAGTTGGATGAAATGCACATAAAGCGTTGGTTAAATTGAACACTCTCTCATGCAAACACACACACATGCTCGCACAATGGAATCTAATCGATGCGCGGACCAGTACAAAGCTCCTTCGAAATAATGAAAAAAAAAACCACTTCTATGTTTGTGGCATTTTTTGTACGTTTTTTTTTTTCTTTCTTTCTTTCACAATTAAAATACTTGACGCAATTAAAAGCCATTCAAGAATTAAAAAATGAAGAGGGAAAAAAAGAATAATACTGAGCACTTATTTCCATTAGGAGTTATTCGTATATAAAAAAAACAACAAATGACACGAAAATTACGTTAAGAACTCAACAAGCAGCAATGGCAGTAGTAGAGGCAGTCTCAGTAATAACAGCAAAACATTGAACATCGACTGCTTCTTCAATCTTTCAACAGCTAACGCAAAAGCGCATTAAAACATTAAAATGTGTATGAATAAACGATGGCTATCAGTAAAATTGTGTGTTGAAAGTGAAAAAAAAGTGCACAATTTGATACACACTTATTGAGATACGTGGAATAATAAGAAGAAGACACACGCCACAACAAGGACGCCAATTATGCATTCTTAATAACAGCGTACAACAGCATCACATATCAACGTTTCATGCATAATAAATTCATAAAAAAAATATTTAGCGATCTTTTACTTTTTGCTCTTGCCGATTTGTTTGTATTCTTGTATATTGTGCGCAAGCGATGCGCTTCGCCTGATAAGGAAATTTTTCGTTTTTGCTCGAGTTCAGAAGTGCTGCTATTTTTAGTCGATTCGGGCATATATTGCATTTGATGGTTCTTAACCGTTTCGTAAAATTGTGGAAATTCCAATTCAACGATCAGATTCATTTTGATGTTGGTTTTTTGTTCCAAAGCCAATTTCGGTGAATGCATTCAAAACATGTCGTAAGTTGAAATTTGACGTTCTTAAGATGGTCTTACCTTTTGATTTTTCTCTTCGATACCGTTCTTGTTTTGTGCCGTATTCGTATTGGCATAGTAGTATGGATTCGGAGGCAATTTTATGATAAACATATGTGAGTCATCCGGTCGTGAATGATGCCGTGATGATTCAACGGCAAGACGTTTGCGGTGATGACCCGGTGGTGTCTTGATTTTTGCTAAACCCAAAGACCTGCCAACCACAATCAAAAGACGTGAAAACATAGAAAAAGAGAGAGACGGAAAACAAGAAAAATCAATGATTATTATTACTTTTCGAAAATCGCTCTTTTACGATTCAAATTAAAATTGGTGATGCGCTGACGCAAACACGAATGAATGTAGAAAAGCATAATTCTATTCTATAAAACTCTAGTCCGATGTTATCATTGGGCATTTATTAGCAATCAGAATCACACTTACTTGAATAGCTCATGATTTGATGATGGCGACGATGATGCCGATGCTGATGATGAGACTTTCTTTTTGTCAAAGCCAAACTTCTTATGGCCATGATTTTTTTCAAGAAATTTATTTGCATGGTAATATTTGATGGTGGAATCTTTTTCGCTGTGCAAACTATTGTACGAATTAATAGCGGGTGCCGTTTGCGAGTCGGCAAGCACGTATGGTTGTATTCGCGAGATTTTTGAATCTCGATATTTACGCGGTGTAGGCGATGGACGTGGTGATACCACTGATGATGATGGTGGTGGTGCAGCCGCAACGGCCAGTGTAAACATTAAAAATACCGAACTGAAATGAAAAAAATGGGAAAATTGAATTTAAAAATATAATTCAAAGTGAAGTGTAATGTCATGATAAAAGAAAGTTAAAGGTGAAAGAGAAGATCGGTATCAAGGGAAACAAATGTTCGAAACTAAAATCGATTTATGGAAGTGTGCATTTCAGCTTATATAAATGGCATTATTTAAGATTTTTTGTGTTCCTATCCCAAAAAAAGAATTAAATTTTCGATGCGATAAATTCCACTCTTGAAACTCTGTCGTTTCGGTAATTTCGTCAATTCAAACAATGGCCGTTATTCGTCGATTTATGTGTTGCCGGTGAGTGTATTCCACCTGGAATGGAGAATTCCCATATCACCATAATTACGAGACATTTTCAATTTATTGTTCTTGAATACATATCGAATTGCGGCCGAAGAAACAAACGAAAACAACACAAGAATAAAACGAACTGTTTTCAGAGTCTTTAAAATTCAATTTATTTTCATGACGGTTTGACCGAAAGAATGAACGAAAATGGCGAAACCGTAAATAACATAAATGAAAAGATATTAATATTTCGGATTTTTTTTGTCGGTTTGTGTACGCATTCTTGTGCGTTGATGGACGCTTGTCGGAGTGTGTATATCGCCATAAATCCGCACATAAAATGCAATTAACGCACAACACAGTGAACGGGAGAGAGAGAGAGGGAGAGAGAATAATCAACCTAAAATATACACAATTTTACTGACAGATAATTTGTTCTGATCTGCTCATTCTGTGTGCCTTGTCTGCTGAATTTTATCTTCTTCTTATTCGCTCTCGGTTATATTTAACACGGTTGCTTCATGTAACATTTATGTTTGGTGTGTTTGTTATAGTGATTTCCATTTAAAAGCCATAATTCCGACTAAATGACGATCAGTTCAAGAGCAACTACTACTAGTTATAAATGAAGAAAACATCAGGAACAATAACAATCAAATAATGTACTTTATAACTGAACAGAAAGCGAAAAAAAAAACACATGGATGAATTAATACGTCTTTCGGCCGACAAGCGTTTAACCATATTTACATATCGTAGAGCGACGCGTCTCTCTCTCTCTCTACCTCAATCTGTTGCTCTCTCTTTGTCTATTTGATTTATGCACGTATTCGCGCGCTCTCATTTCTCCATTTTATTTCTCGATTTGCTTTTATGCGCGTCTCTTTCAGTTTGTGTTCATTCTCCGATGTAGTTTTTTTGAAATTCTTTTCTTAAATATCTTTCTCAAAGTATTCTACATAATTCTGATTTAAGACACGATCGATATTGTTGGTTGTGTATATTCCAATAGAGAATGATCGTTCGGTTCTGACAGGTAGAATAGATGTGTTCTATGCTAAACATATGAAATATGAACATGATCCACTTCTGTCGGTTTTTTTCTTCTAAAACATCGTAATGAGTCTATGATTACTCCTGCGCTTGTCACTGATCTCTCAGCAAGTATAAAGAAACTGTGTGCGCTTATTCTGTTGCGCCGGTAGTCAGACAACGTTAATTAATGCGTTTGCTTCCAGTCTTTAGATTTCTGTATACGAATTTATTTGTTCATAGTCTCTTCTCGTCTCTTCATTAGTACAACGACATTTTAAGCACGTACTTTTTTTCCCATATCCAAAGAGCATGAATTATGAGTTACATTTATCCTTCTTGTACAATTCAGTGCAGAGCAAAAATGCATTGCAACGCTCCGTTCCTTCTACATCGTTTAAAATGGCATTTTATGGCCCTTTGCTTACAGGCTTGAAATGAATACAGTCACCGTCGGTGTCATGGTTTTACAACGAAAAGGTGGATGAATATATTAGGTAATCATTGATCGTTTCCGTTTCTCGATGCCGTTTTGATGGGGCACGTCTATCATAAAATCGAATTCGATTCTAAAACTTTAATAAAATATAAGTTTCATCTCATTTACATACTGATACAAAACATTTTTTATAGAAAACAAGGTGTTTTATTTCACAAAAGAAATATATAATATTATTACAGTGTAATTTTACATGAAAATTCGAACCACATTTATTTCACCCATGTAATTGGAGATTTCTTGTGTCGGCGATTTCATTGAAATCAATACATTTTTGCGTAAATTGTTGATTTGAATTTCACTGATCAGATCAATGAATGCAAATTATAGTCTGTAAAATTGAATGTCATTTCAATTAAACGGTACGGTGAAGCCACCCACTTCAAATGCGATGGAAATTAAGCAAACAATGAAAAACGCTGTTCAAATAAATAGAATCAAATTAAATGCAAGAATCGGCAAGAATGAATGAAAATGGATAAAATCTGTCGTCTTCGCCACGAACTTAGAACACAAAAAGAGTGAGTGTGTGCGCGCGCGTTAGTTTTACATTCATTTGAATAACATGTTTTGAACATTGTATTATGTGCTCGAGTGTCTATGTGTGTCGGTGAATTGAGTATTATAATAAAAAAGTTAGCTGACAAATCTTATAGCGCCAGTCGCGAGTTTCGCGAGGAGTCTATTCAACCAGAGTAGTGTGTGTCTAGTTCATTGCATACATAATGGATGAAACGACGATAAGAAAACTTCTCAAATAGTGGTGAGCACGCAATGTAAAAACGTTGGAATTGAATTTTAAAGAAAATGAGACGATTGTACGCAGTACAAACAAAATGATTGCTGCCTGCCCAAATGAAGCAAACGCGATTCTTGCATGCAATTGCAAGAGCAAAAAAAAAAACAACAACGACGACGTACGATCGAATGAACACGGTCCAGCGCACAGCAATAAAAACATACAGTCGGCCGTGATTTTGCCGCCAGTCGCATAATATAAACATGCGCAAAAAAAAACGAATATGCATTATACACCATGAATACACAATGAAAATATCGAAGAGCTATCGAAATGCGACAACACATACGGACCTACACACCGTCCAACGATCGAATAAAATCAACAGAAAATTAAGACAAAAAAAATAAACGTGAAACGATCAATTTGCCATGATCGGTAACAATATCTCAACTAAACTGCCACAATTGATGGCAGGAGGTACGCGCTTATTTAACAGACATTAGGTAATACACATAGAGCATCATCATCGTCATCGTCAGCAGCAGCAGCAGCAAAAACAACAGCGCTTCTCTCCTCTCTCTCGCACACTAAAAATTGAATGGTATTGGAAACAATTCGCTCGCGCTAGTTACAAGGTCGCCGATCGCATACAATTTGTTATGCTAATGATTCTGAGCACAGCACAATTCTTCTCTCTTCTTTCACCATTCGCCATCAGCCACGCTTTAATCTTGTCTGTGAAAATGTTTTCATTGGCATTGTGCGCGCATTGAACAGATTCAGTCAAGTAACATTTTTATTTTCTTCTTCTGATTTTTCTACAAGAAAATTCACACACTTTTTTTTCGTTATTATTATTGTTGTTCGCATTTCGTAAATGTTCCATTGTTTTCGCTTCATCAAGACAGCCATAGTGTTTTCAGTTTACGTGAATTTATTTTCTTTCTCAGTTCTTTCCACGTAACTTTCTACATTTGAATTCAGTTTATTCTTTTGCATTTTGAATTCGAACTCGTGTGGTGGCAACCATTAGATTCGAAACAGTGAATTAAGATTTGAATAAGAATATGCTCGAGCTTATTGATGATGATAATAATACGCTCATTGCATCGTACTGCTATAGTTAACTATAGTTTGAGCGATCAGTTTTAGATAGCATAGCATTTAAAACGGTTACCTATGAGAATTCAGACTTATTTCAGTTTACTTCGTAATCAAAATTACGGTTAATTATTCAAGTTTGAAGTAACATTGGCAATTTATTGAACAATATTTTTTTTATCAAAACAATTTATTTTTAGAATTTTCTTTAAAACAAAATAAAATTGAAAAAAGGGTACTACTTTCGGTCATTTTTAAGACATTTTTGCCAAAAACACTTGTTGTTCTATCTCGAATGCTACTACGTGTACCAATTTGTTCATGGTGATTCGTTGCCTTGTATTTTTCAATAAAGTTTTATGACTCAATCATCAGAGAGCAATAACGGTGCTTCACCGCCAAATTAGTTGGCACACGCATTGGCATACCGTAAATAAATAATACCAAAACATAAATAAACAATTAAACCACATATCTATAATATGTAAGTGAATACTACATTTACCGTTTGACAATAGACAATTTCATATTGACCAACCTAATGTTCATTTCGTACACAATGAACGAAAACACTTTTAGCGGTTTGTATAATTTTCATTGCGCCATTCTATTCGATTCGAAAATTGAATTCTGAAAAATGACTTTTTTTCGGTTTGCTTTTATTTTCGCACGTGAACACACAACGTCGCCGATACTTTGTATTTTGGTGGTCTTCTCGGTTTCATCACTCAACACAGAATTTTTTTTTTCTTTTCGACTGTTTCGTAATACATAATTTGATTTTGTTATTTTTTGTCCAAGAATTAATTGTGGCGTTTCGCATGCGTAAAGAACTGTTTTTTTTCGTCGAATTCTTCCAGAGTTGGCATGAGCCTCGAGTGAGCACCATCGAATGATTGACAGTTGTAAGCACTTATTTTTATTTTGACTTTTTCTGAATGGCATATGCATAGACCCTCCGAAGAGCAACAATCAATTTGAAGATAATTACATGTTATTCTGTCATGCACGTGTTCTGAACAGTTTTTTTTTTTTTTGAAAAGGCCCATCTTCCATTTTGGGTGATTGGTATCTGAATACATCACGAAATTGAATGAGAAGAAAAATGCTTGAGAAAAATATTCATTGTTGTTGCTTTTAATCGTCCATTTAAGTGATTAGCATAATTGCAATTTTATTACGCAGCAACAGCGTTAATCCAGTCGAAGCAGATATCATTTTCGATGGCAAACATATTATATTTAATGGTCGCAACCGAGTGAAATCAATTCTCCAGCGAAAATAAAATAAAATTTCCATATAATCGGACTATTTTTGCTCACGG